CGGTGAAAGTGGCAGAAATCGGCAGATTTTGACTGAACAATCCGTGAAAGTTAAGTCATTTCCTTTTCCTTTAAAGACTCAGAGAGTCTGTTTAATGTTTTTCTTTCTTCTCTGATCACTTTCTGATTTCGTCAATTTTCTCGTCCTCCTTGTTTCAACCAGTCAGAACACACGTTATTTCGAAACTTTCTAATAAATGTATAAATATTGTGCAACGCTGACTTTTTAAAAGCTGCAGAGTTCACTCTATCAAATACTTACAGTACACCGTCACTGCTACCTCTCCTTTTGTTCCATTACCATAAACATTGAACGGGATGCAGCTGTAGTTCACCATTTTTACTTTTTCACCAGCTGAAGTAGTAATCATTGCATCATTGTCTGGACTATTTACGTACTCATTTCCTTCATAGAATCGATACTTTGCAGGTGGGTTGGCCAGTGCGCTGCAGGTGATACTGAATGTTTCACTCACAACAACGGTGTTGTCGGTCAGATTTGTTGTCATAGTGGTCTTTACTGGGTGGTAGTCTAAAATAAATTCAAAAGATCAACACTCTTCGGGTTGAGTTATAATATATAGCTTATTTTTTCACCTTCAATCTGACATATCGGTGCACTACCGTATCTTTTACCTTCATTTGTTAATTCCGGCAACGAACAATATTTTACGCAACTGAACTTTTGTGTCAAATATGCTCAAGTTTTCACCACTGTTGAATGGGTGAATAAAGCCTTTCGTTGTTATTGTAGCCTCTAAAAATTGTTGAGTGAAGTGTTTCTACGCTAAAGTACAGCGTTAGTGGTGCATTGAGGTTGAAAAAATTGTTTTTATGGTGTATTCTCAAACTGTGCTAATAACGTCATCTTGGACACCTAACTACAGTAGTAAAGTTTTAGAAACATCTCTGAGTTCTTTCTCTTACGAAGAAGAGATCTTGAAGATACATATGGGCCCATCTTGCCCGCTCGGGATTGCCCGTATTGATCCCGTGCAAGAAAAAAGCGCTTGGAGCGGACTTCCACTGAGTTCGTATCTTTAGGAGAACGTCCGAAATGAAATCGCAAAAGCAGCAGAAGGTCAAAAGAAAGAAAAAATTCAACGACACTCTTTGGTTTATTGTGCTACAAATACGGTTGACTTTCTTTCCCAGCTCTCGAAATAAAGAATTCATTCTTCATTCTTATCAAAGTGAAATATTTTTGCGATATAATAAAAAAAATTTTTTTGACCAAGCTTGTTCGGTCAAGATGGCTGGATATTAGTCTCCTTCTTCGATCGTCTCGGGCCATTAAAACTAAAAACTAAGAGCTCGGCAATATCCAGCCATCTTGACCTCATGCTCGGTCACTAACGCACCATTTTACCCTAAACATTATCGGCTTTGAAACAGATCGAGGCAAAAGTATAGCTACGCCATACATGTTAACACTCGTTCCGCACATCTTTAGGATACGCTTTATGTGCGAGGCAGAGGATAGAGAGATGGTGAATTGTGGCGCCGATCGTCAAACAGTATCATTGCCTTAATTTGAAATTTACACTGAAATCCGCGAACTTTAAACCTTAAACTTTCGTCCATCTTCAAATAAGTGACCTTTAGTCCAATGGAAACGACTGCAAAAAAAGAATCGAACTTAGTGCTCTCAAAGTCCACAGCATAGCAATTAATGAAAGTAAAAGTTTTCTAGGTCGCACCACGTCAAAACGCGCAAACAATTTCACAACATGGCAATCATGTCCGTCTGTATTTCATTTTGGACTATTTTTCGCTTTAGACTGTAATTAATTCTAATTCACTTTCACTTCGGGAAAGCTTGAAGCATCCTATTACGAAGACTCCAAAAAAAAAAAAAGGGAAACAGCTTTGCTCCAAAAATACCACAGCGCTTTTTATTAGGGCCAAAACTCGTATTAACCATACTTCTTGTTACAGGCTTGACAGAGCCTCTTTGCGACAAAGCTCGGCAAAGCTCACCCAAAGCACTCAGTCTCTCCTATGCATGTTAGCCTTGTTTCTATGAGAACTGTGCGTCTTATTAAACCAGAGTAGTTGGAACCAAACTCGTAAATTTGTGTAAGGGGTGAAAGCTTCTAAAGAAACTGTGGTGCTGCGTAGGTGGGGGTAACAAGGTACTTTGGTTATATTAACTAAGTTGAAATAGTAAACTGGCCACCGTAACGAGTTAAAAAGCTGACGTTTCGAGCGTTAGCCCTTTGTCAGAGCGTTGTAGCTCATCCCACGAGAGTAAAAACAGTACTTAGTTGAAGCATTAAAAGACACTTGTACGTTTCCTTGATTTTCTGTCCTTGTTTACGTATGTACCGCTTCGCTAGTTTAGATTTCAAGATAACAGATAGTTAGTAGTTTCTTATGTAAAAAAAGAATCGCCAAGAACTCTGCAAGGAAGGTGAATGTAAACCTTTCCTTCCAAACAAAGTAGTGAAAAGCGAACGAAAGTTCCAAACTATGCCTTTCTATAAAACCAAATTGAAATTGGTGAGAAAACTGGCGCCCGAGACCCCTTAATGACACGTTACAAATATTCCACGGATTCTTAAAATCGGTGAGTGCCGACAATGTAACGAAAAAAAGTTAAGTGTCATCATTACTTGATTTTACATTTAGAAGGGAGTCAATGTTATTTTCAAGAAGTTAAAATCGACTCTCCAAAAGCATAACACAAAGGTCAGCACCTCTTAAATTGTGACATCTTTTAGTGTTTTATTTTTTTTTTCAAGCAACAAACATGTTTAAGAAGCTGTTATCTGATTCCTTCGTGCAGGTTAAGAACTAGTTCCAAGCAGTTTTCCCTGGAGACCCAAGAATGAATGGTGGACGTTAACCTGGGTAAATTTGCCCGCTGAGATGTTTTGTAACTCTGTGTAACGGGGAACAAGAAATTACGGCGAACAGTTCAAAATCAACTTACTTTGTACAAAAACATAAAGAACCCTGCTATCAGGGCTTCCAACACCATTACTTGCAGTGCACCTGTAACCATCTTCTTCTTTTTTACCAATGACGAGGAGAGGGACAGACACAGTTTGTTGTCAGAAACTCTTGTCCAAGTGATATTTGGTGTTGGATTACCTTCAGCCACACATTTTGGATGAAATGTGTCACTTTCATTCAGGGTCTGATTATCAGAGGTATAGTTGATCGTTGCTGCATCTGTAATTTAACCATCCTAGCAGAATTAGTTTGTTGAGACTTATACAATGTATGCCCAACCAAATAACCTAAGACTCTATCTTCTTCCCAATTTTGGAGATCTGTTCAATCATGATGAGCTAAAACCCAAAAAGGTTTTTTTTTTTTTACTTGAATGACTCAGCAGCGCCGCAGTTGAGTTTCTTTTCTTCTTTTTTTTTTTGCATCATTCTAAAATTTTCAACGTTATCACACTAGCTGCGTTTAGTAACTGAATAAAATAATTCCGAATGAATTATATCATTCTAGTTTTTTTTTAGAGAGGCTACCGTAAATTTTAAAGCGCTCGTTCATTGACTGTCTCATACCATGCAGTTAATCCCCTGCAAACGACAAAAGCAAGGTTAGTAACTATTGTTCTTTACTCACTGACCAGCATTTCTTTTTTAATTTTTAAGAGCTTTAACTACAATTGAAACGTAAACTCTAATTTTAAACATATCTTCAAAACTATTGCTCAGCTTTTGTTGACCTTTTCTTTTCTGAGCAACTCGCTCACAAAAGCGAGCTCTTAACCTTTAAACTCCCCAATATCAAATATTTTTAAAATATGTTTATTTTAGCTACTGAAAAGACTTGACGCTTCCACTGAGTTCAAAATCCCAACCCACCCAGGCAAATTTTAAACTCCTCACCCCTTGGAAGGCATTTTGTCAACTTCAATTCTTCCCAGGAACGGACGACGGTCAAATGCCCGTGGGTTACCCTTGTAGACGTTGAAGCTTTGAAGTCATCAGCCCATGATATATCAAACCTCGACAATTTCATTTGTTTAACTCGAGTCATCGTATTTTGCACATTGCTCGTTTCGCCAATTCAGTGGTTCTACCTGGTATAATTCACTCATTTAAACACTAAAATTCTCTCTCTTAAAAACAAGATTTAACTGGTTAAATGTTTTCTATAGAAAGCGAGATACTTTTTGTGTTTCCCATGATACGCCAACCACTCTGATTTGATCCTTTTACAATGGAAATTTTTTTAATAGAGAGCATCCCTGTAATGAGAGGTAGTGATGAACTGAACATTAGATTGTTTACTGGAAAATGTCATTTAACTGGCATGGGGAAATCTTGATAAACAGTAATAGGTAGTCACGTTAAGTATTACATCAGCAAAGTACTGTCTAAACAGAAGATGTAAATAACGGTAAAGGAATGGATGTTTAGCATGGCAGCCAGAGAAGTTATATAGCTTGCTAAAAATTTCAATCCTCGTCAAAAGAGCAACGAGAAATGTGTGTAGCCAGATGCGAGTGGTTTACAAACTTATCGCGTGTTCTCCCAACATCTCGCGTGGTTGATTACGCCGGTGAACCGATAGAAAGTCTGGCTTATTACTTAAGTAGCTGAAAATAAAATGAGTGATTTCGAAAATCATTTTATCACAGGATATACAACCGAATGGAAATATGGTGTCCAATTTGAATTGCCATTGTTCTGGACTTTCGTGTTTCCACGCGAAGACGAGGCTAGTGAGTCAAGAAAAATTGCAACTCAAATTGGACGCCATATTTGCATTCTGTGTATAGGTTTCGAAACTAAAACTGAGATAAAGTTTGTTTTGTAATTTTAGATAAAGGGGTAAGTTTCTAAAGAAACTGTGGTGCTGCGTCGGTGGAGGTAACAAGATAATTTGGTCTGAGCAACTGAGTTGATAACGTAAATTGGCCGCCGTAAAGAGTTAAAGAGACTACTATCGTGACGTCATTGAAAGCTCGAGCCATGATCAGAGAGTTCTCTTTGAGACTGTTGACAAGCTACTTCACACCAAAGCTGAAGCTCGCTATCCTTCATCTTCTTCGGATCTCGCGCTAGCAAATTCGTTTGTTGACTTTTTCTGTGAGAAAATAGTCAGCCTTCGATCTTCCTTAAACTCTCTTACTGGCGTCTGTGAATCTACATCTGTTTTTATGGAACCGTCACCTCCTGCGAGTTGTTCACTATCATGCTTTACAGTGGTCACTGAGGAGCAGCTATTCAGTCTTGTTTGTTCTTCCAAGATAAAGTCATGTGATCTAGATCCAGTTCCAGCTAATGTCCTGAAGGAATGCTTGTCCGTCCTACTTCCAGCTATGACGAAAAATGTGAACTTGTCTATCAAATCTGTTTTGGTATCAGACTGTTTTAAAGTGGCTCTTTTGAACCCTCTTCTTAAGAAGCCATGTCTTGATTTTGAAATTTATGCTAATTTCAGGCCTATTTCTAATTCAATTTTTATTTCCAAATTAACTGAGAAAGTAGTTGCGTCTCAGCTTGTTGACTATGTAATGCGAGATAATTTAGATGAAATTTTTCAGTCTGCTTATAAGCAGCTTCATAGTAATGAGACCGCGTTAGTCAGAGTTAACAATGACATTCTTGTTGCTTTGGATAACCATTATTATTAAAACTGGAACATTGGATAATGCAATTCAAGAGTTTTTATTGGCTTAGCCATTATGGTATATGAGCCAATATACCATAATCTACAAATATGGTAAGCGTACGCGTCAACTTAAAATCAAAACGGAGCTAAAAAATCCGGTTTCTTCTTACAAAATAATTATTTCTTGGGGGCGTTTTTAATAAAACAATTATTCCACTCGCACTTGTTGGATATGAGATGATTATAGCCAACTCGGCGCTACGTGCCTCGTTGGCTATCTATCATCTCATATCCAACGCGCGCTCGTGGAATAATTGTTAGTTATAACACAACCAAAGTAAAGCGCGCGCTCTGATTGGTCAATTTAGCGTCCCCCATTTGCCCATGGGTGTACGCTGCTGACGTGAGCAAATGCAAAGACTATTTTTCCGCTCGCACTTGTTCTTTTCTGGTCACGTAAGATTTGTTAAATAAAAGGGAACTCTTTAGCTACAATGTATCAATGTTATGTTATAAAACAAATGGTAAACACCACAGCGTACACTATTGAGTTATGGATGCACTTGGGAGGTTTGCTAAGCACTCAAGAAGCTAGAGTCGCTCTCGGCTATCGCCTCGAGCGATTCTTACGCTTCTTTCGTGCTTAGCAACCTCCCGCGTGCATCCATAACTCGATAGTGTACGCTGTGGTGTTTACCATTTGTTAAATCTGTTATACTGCTTCTCCTGGATTTATCAGCTGTTTTCGACACTGTGGATCATGGGATATTGCTCGAACGGCTGAGTCATCGTTTCGGTATATGTGGTCTTGCTCTCTCCTGGTTTAAATAATATCTTAGCAATAGATTTCAGTTTGTGGAAATAAGAGGGGAAAAGTCTTCACACCAGCCACTAACGTGTGGGGTGCCTCGGGGCTCCGTTTTGGGCCCTATCCTTTATCTGCTGTACACCTCGCCGCTGGGGTATATCGTGGGGAGGTATAATATGGGTTTCCATTTCTACGCGATACCCAATTGTACTTATCCTTTGATTCCCTCAGTGGCGAGGGGCAAGTATCAACCGTCCATTCAGTGGAGGCTTGTGCATCCGAAATCGATGAATGGATGAGGCTCAATAAGCTAAAATTAAATAGTGATAAGTCTGAGCTTTTAGTAATCAGTTCTAAGTACCGCCCTCGTCGTTTGCTTGATTCTATCTCTATTAGTGGACAGGTTGTAGAGTCGTCAGCTTCAGCTAAAAATTTGGGTTTTATAGTTGATGATAGTTTATCTCTAGAGGAACATGTTAACTCTATTTCTAAGTCTTGTTATTACCACATTAGACGTATTGCTAAAATCCAAAAATATCTGTCCGGAGACTCCACAGCAGCTCTTGTGCATGCTTTCATCACCTGCAGATTGGACAACGGCAACGCACTTTTGTAAAGCCTTCCTAAATATCTGATTCAGCGACTGCATACAGTTCAAAATTGTGCTTCCTGCCTCGTTTCCTGCAAGCCGAGGTATGCACATGCTACACCAATCCTCAGGGAACTGCACTGGCTGCCAGTGGAAAGTCGTATCATTTCTAAAATTTTATTATTAGCTTATAAATCACTTAATAATTTAGCTCCTGCATATATTAACAGTCTTTTGAAAAATTATAAACCTAGTTGTAATTTAGGGTCGGTCGATCAGGGTCTTCTGACGATTCCTAGATCCAATCAAAAGACCTATGGGGACAGGTCATTTTCAGTTGCAGCACCAATGCTCTGGAATGTCCTACCCCTTGACATAAGGAATAGCGGATCAATCACTCTTTTTAAATGTAAATTAAAGACTTTTCTCTTTAAGAAATATTATTTACAATTTACTGTAAAATTGTGAAGCGCCATGGGGCAGTTAGTGTATATGGCGCTATAAAAATGCCATAATTATTATTATTATTATTATTATTATTATTAAAAGATGACGTATCGAGCATTAGCCCTTCATCGGAGCGAATGATTATGACTAATAATAATTGACCCTGACAACGCTAGACTGCCTGGTAAGCTATGACGACAACTCATTATGGACAACAGTTAACAGGAAACCGACACATACCGATAGACCATCAGACGAGTCTTCTTACAACCCTATATCACACAAAGCCACAATTATCGAGACCTTAACACGACTAGTGCAACTTGTGTGCGACACGACAGACAACTTATCCGACGAGTAAAATACTTTGACCACGTAAAGAACAACTACAACAGTGACTTCATCCGACCAAGTGCAAGTACCGAAATACATGACACCGCAACTCCTACGACTTCAACGACTCAAGGGCATGTCTGAGAACCTCTCGCGCATCCTACAACCGTTCGATATCCGCGTCGCCTACAAACCCATCATCACACTACGTTAGCTACTAACAAACTTCAAAGACAAGGACGAACCGAGAAACAGACAGGGAGTAGTTTATAAGATCAATTGCTCCAACTGCTACGCCTCCAACATCGGAGAGACCGGCCGGAACCTCAACACAAGACTGACTGAACACACGCGGGCGACGAAGAAAGGTGACCTCAACAATTGCTTTGCTGAACATCATCGACTTACGAACGACACTATTGACTGGGACTTTGCGCAATGTCTAATCTACAGCACTAACTACTTTCAACGACTGACACTAGAAAGCTGGTTTACAAACACCTGTTGAGGGGAGTCTGTTCTAATTTAACCACGACCAGCACTATACAAATAACTCATTCACGACATCAACGTTACAAACGAATCGAACAGAACCGCCTAACCAACGGATTCGACTGACAACGCTGATGACTACCGCTCAGGTTGTCGAAACGTCAGTCACCTCTACCGACAACAATCCTTCTCGAGATTACACTCACCCGATCAGACTACGCTATCACATGTTATCCCGCAGTCCAAATCACTTATTGTATTAGTTACTTTAGTTAGTCAATTAGTTAGGTTTTAGTTCGTTATGACGGCAGGACGAGCGAATGGTGTCACGCTATCAAATGTCGGGGAGGGCCTAGCTGGGGACTACACTATCTTAAGCGGAAGGCATCAAAGACTCTCGAACTGTCTTTTTCTGCTTTCTTTTATTACTCGGTTCTCCACCAGACAATTGAATAAGACAGCTACATTGATACTGGATCATGTTGTCGGGTGTTCTAGGTCTGCTTATAGAGATCGTGACTAGTGATGCATAAGATATCACCTCTGAGCTGCCAACCTTGGTCCATACTACACTGGGCCCAGGTTTTTCAGATGTAGTGCATGTAAAATTCAAGCTCTCTCCCAAAACTGCATCAACAAAAGTCTTACCATTTCCGAATGGAAATAAAGTTTATGTATGTATGTATGTATCTAGCTGTTTTGCTTGATATGTCGGCTGACGGGGAGACTGACACATAAGAAGAACTACTCAGAGTATTCAAGGACAATGGAGAGAATAACAGGGAACACCTATGATCTAAGGTGATTCAGTTCGTTGTTATATCTTATTACGATATGGACAGCACTGGTCTACTGAGAACAAAACACTTGTAAGATCAAGGCTGATAGTTTCTAAAGAAACTGTTTGGGGCTGCGTCGGTGGGGGCAACGAAATAATTTGGATATATTAACAAAGTTGAAATGGTAAATTGGCCACCGTAACGATTACAAAAGCTGACGTTTCGAGCGTTAGCCCTTCGTCGGAGCGAAGGGCTAACGCTCGAAACGTCAGCTTTTGTAATCGTTACGGTGGCCAATTTACCATTTCAACTTTGTTGATATATCCAAATTACTTGTAGGATCAACTTGGCTACTACCGGTTTATCCCAGAACCGATCGTGTGGCATAATAAGAGTGGCCATATCGAGCAACAATGTTTTAATAGGCCTTTTCGAACTTTGCTTAGTAAACTTGGTTTGTTTCATTAATCGATTGGTAATCTCCAAAAACGCACTCGCCTTTCATCAACAACAACCAAATTTTAGTGACACACACAAACAAAATCATACAGGATTGAGATATTAAACCGATCTAATTACCTGCGGCAAAAAACCATATAGTTCAAGCCTAGGAATACTTTGTTTCTGAAGGCGTGCGAACTCTTTCTTCGAAGCAACCAAGTTCACATCAATGTGTCTGTCGTCATAAATGGAGCGAAGGTAGACAACGGCAGCGTAAGCCTTGTCTGAAGCGTCACTAATCATAAAACGATGAAGTTCCGCTGACTTCAGATTGCCTGAAGCGTGGTCAAAATACCATCTCGGTGCGGACACATTGTGCAGAGCTTGAAGCTCGCAAATAAGCGAATTCCATTTCTACTCGTTCTTGTCGCTTAACTGGTCGTCCCAGTCGGCACGCCCATTGCAAAGTTCTTGAAATAAGGTCCTCCGTTGAATGGTAAACGGGCTTAACAGTCCCATAGGATCGAATATCTTAGATGCGACCTTTAACAACGATCGCTTCGTAGCCCGGAGTACCCTTGCTTGTTCTGAGAGATCTGCCAAATTGAATGTAAAGTGATCGGTAGCAGTATTCCAAATCGAGCCCAACACCTTAAAATTAGTGTTGTCGCATGCCTGATCAGAATCAAGTGGAGTTCCGTTTTACGTTTGTAGTCTTAGCGTAGGATTTGTCCTCTTCGATAACAGTTTTCTTGCTTCCCCGTACAATGTTTGACTTCACCTGGACTTCAGATCAACTAATCGCTTCTTGTACAA